GAAGTTTTGTCCTTTTCATCCTGAATTTCTCTGTCCAGCCCATGTTCAAAGAAGACCTTCAAATGTGAGCTGTATTTAAGCAAGCGTATCCAGTAAAGTGAGTTAACCTGAAATGACTCCAGGAGGAATGATAAAAGCAATTGTAGCAATCTCTCTATAAAATAAACCAGAAAGAAGAAAAAGAAATAGCTTTCTACAGGGAGATCAATAGTGAGTAGAACTCATGTTTTCTAAAGACCTCAGGAACCAGCTCGTAACTTAACTTGTTAAATACTGCTGACACTAAAAAGACTGATTTCTTTCTTACCCAGAAGACTGAAGAGCAACAGACCTCTGACAATTAAGACCTTTAAAAAAAATGTCAATTTTGACATCCAAACCAAAGGCACGCAGGGAATCTGTTAATTAGTCTTGACAATCTTGTGATGAAATGCCTCACTTCTGGGCCTTGATGTTAGGGACGTTTCAGCCTATGTCGTCGGTCAACTGAAGAGGGTAGATTTCTCCTTCTCTGGGTCTAGTATCTTAAACTTGCAGTAAGTATATGTGATTTATATTTCTGTGCTCTGCTGGTGCCCTGCGCAATATTGTTCCTTGGAAACCTGTGAGGAAGAAAAGACATCTGTCTGATGACTGTAAAGATGTGGTGTCCTGAAAATGGGAATTGTGGTCCATTCCTCATCTTTAGCAGACATTTGCCATATAGCAACAAAAATTGAATGTTTGGTAGTGTGTTTTCATTGGAAACAAAGCTTTCAGTCCACTGGATTAATCTGTGATGGTGAACTGATGAAGCTGCTAACCTAAAAGAAACTTAACAGCATCTGTCCGGGTCTTCTTGGTCTATCACAGATGTGGTACAAGTAAGAATTTTTCTCATCTCATTGGTGCTGCTCATCAGATCTGGAGATAACCAAGCGGAGAAAAAAAAAATGCTTCTTAGTGTATTCGGTCCCTTTTTTCCTCAAAAGGTTCACCAGTAGCTGGAGCACAACATTATCTAAAACTGAGATGCTTGTTTTCTCTTTTCAGCTGTGCATTTCCCCCATTCTGCCTTGCGCTTGATGAAACTCTTTTGCCTGTGCCTCCCAGGCTGGCGTAGCATCAATGAGAGGAGGAAGACCATGGTGTTATGGCCAGAATTTTCTTGCATCTTCACTGTACAACCCCCTGGAAAGTTATGAAACAATTTGGCCATATTTGAAGTCCCTCTTTTGCTTTTTTGCTTAACTGTGACGTCAAGACCTTTTTTGAGAGAAGTGTTGTAACGAACCATTGAATAAAACTCATGATGATCATTAGAAATGTTTACTAGCCTTAAAACTACACAAGCTGATGGGGAATTGTGGAGCATTCTGATGAGTGTGTTTTATTAATAAGATGCTTCATATTTTAATGGGCTGTTTCTCTCAGGCATTTGAGGTGCTGTTATGCTAGTTACTCAATTTTATGAAGTTAAACAATAAACATTAAAAGTAAAACCTCAGGAAAATTGCCAGAGTGCAAAATAGATCTGTCCCTCGGCAGATTTAATTTACTTTCATTTTCAAAATGTTTTTCTTTTAGTTAAGTAACATGTATTTTAGTATTTTGAGCAAGGGAAGACAGACTTAAATCTGAGCCTCTAGGTCTGAAGGCACAGAAAGGAATGATCTATTTTCTCCAGAGGATGGCAAGTTTTGGTTTTGATTAACCCAAGCTTTTGCAGTACAGAGCCTGTTAGTGTGTCTGTACTTGAAATCTTTGTGGCTGAACCATAGTGAAAATGAACTTGGAAGTCAACCAGTAAGAAACCTGGAATGGTCAAATTAGAACAAGTAAATTTTTGGTGTATGATATATGTTTATCTTCTATGTTTTCTGCTTTTACCTACTTTTATAGACAGTACTGGCCCCTTTTTGTGATTATGAAAAACTAAGTTATTTATTTAGCTATAGTCTCACTCATCCACGTGCATGAGTCTGAGCAATTCAGTGTTTTGTTTGGGCAGAGCAGGGAAAGTAAATAGTAAAAGTAAAAGTGCAGGGGGCAAATAATGTCCATTAATTTCTTTTATTTTCACCTGGCCTGTGGGCATGTAATTATTTCTTACATGTTACTGTCAGAAAACCCTAAGCTGTGTGATTAATGTGAGTCTATCAAAGGTGTAGAAAGGCATAGTTATTTCTCAGGAAGGAACAAGACCTCCCTTCTCCAAGGTGGAACATAAATCATGCGTGCAAGGAGGGAAGGAAGGCTCCATGTTACGGTAAGCACAAAATTTCTAGGCAGGAAACTCTCCTGCTCTGCACAACCATTACTTACTACTCAAGCTATTAGCCCCAGGCACGAAAGGCTTAGTTTCATGGCACAGATGGCATTTCATCTGCCCAGACAGCTGGGCTAATTTCGCCCTTGGACCTGTTCTACAGGAGGCCTTCAAAAAGGGTTAAGAACAGGAGGGTTTGGGCTCTGCTGTTCAATGTGTGCACTCCTCCCAGTTGCTAGTTTGCTGAAGACATGGTACAAGCATGTTTGTCACCCTGGTGCTTGCAAAGCTAAGAGCAGAGTAGGAACGCTTGTAGTCACGTTTTGACTGTTTTTCAAAGTTATATTGCTGTATATAATTTTTATTTTAAAATGGTGTTTGAAAAAACATTTAAAGAACTTTGAAGAAAGGGTTACAAGAGGGATAGTAACCTTCCCTGTGGTCAGGAGCATTTCTATTCCCCAGTTAAGCTGTTTAGGGAAGGGAGCAATGCAATGAACTGAGTATAGAGCCAGCTCTCTGTTACTTGTGGCTCTGGAGACAGAAGCATCTCAGACAGTAGACAATTTCTGATCACGCCTGTGGGTGACAGGGGCTGATGATGCCAAGACTTGCTGGGGACTGCTGTGCAGAGCAGAGCCAGCTCAGGTCTGCAAGGGCTTGTTAACACCCAGTGCTGCCTGAGACAGCTGAGCTGGCCCTGGAAGCAGTGAAGTTGCATTCAGCAGTCTTGTTTCTGAGCAAATAAATCCATCTGGGCCTGAGCTGCTGACATGGGGCCAGCTCTGATGTCTCTCCATCTGTGGCACAGTTAACTTGCAGCCCCACTTCTTCTTGGGATCCCCCGACTTCAACCATACCGTCTGCCTCCTCAGCTCTTGGACTGAGCAAATTGCTAATTACTGTGTCTGCTTGTATGGCCCAGTTTAGGCTTTTCTGCAGCCCAGATTCGTTGCTCTCGTGGGTCATGATTTGTTTAATGCACAAAAGGCCCTTCTTGTCTGTGTCTTTTTGGTTCTGACTTATTTTGCATGTTTAGTGGAGCTGGTTCTTATTCCCTGTGGGAAGGGAGCATCCCTCTAGCTCTGGGCCCTCAGGCTGGGACTTGTTAAGTAGGGTAAGGATGAGCAGGAGGATCCTGATGGAGTAGAAGGGGGAACCCCAGCATCAGAAACTGGTAGGGACGATTTCCCTGATCTACAGTTGAGAGAATCATCAGGAAAAACTATGAGCCAGCATTCAGAAGAGTTTTGAAGCAGTAATGGGAAAAGCTACATTAGAGTTAAATCCTTCAATGCATTTGCTGCAGAACTTTTCATCCTCAGATGAAAGAAGATTAAATATAATGAGTGCTGAGTAAAGCAATCTTAGCTGTAACCAAAGCCTTTTGAGGAATGAAAGCAAATTAAAAAAAACCCAAAAAAACCCAAACATGCCTAAAATAGAAAAGCTAGTGGAGCCTGTGAACACTTCCCAATTCTTTGGACTTGTCTTGGGTTGGGTTTTTTTTTTCCCTTCCCTTGTTTTCCATACTCCCCTGCATCAGGCAGTGCTTGGTATCATCACCTTGTTGTCATATTTGCTTGGGGAAACAAATCTGTCACAGCAGTTCCCTGTCAATACCCTGTCTTGAGTTAGCAGCATGTGCCTAGCTCCAGCACTGTGGGAAGATGTCGCTTTTGCTGATAAAACCCCACTCTTCATTATCTATTGAAGAATGAACCGCACGCTGGCATTACCCAGACTTGGAAACCAAGCGTGCTGTCAGAGACAGAATTTGTAGCAATTCTTTGAAGTCACAGTTTCAGCCTATATAAAGAGTTTATAACTTCAGATTTCTACAGAGCATGAAATTATTCACAATCAGAATGAATTCTCTGTTGTTCTATAGTTTTTCAACCCCATTTTTTGTTTTTTAGCATTTGTGTATAAAAACACATACATATATTAATATTCCCAATGTAATGTTGTACCTATATGTAAGAGCATCCCCACAGAGAGCTGTTGGTATCTTTACTTTTCTCTCACCTGTTGCTTCATTCTCATCAGGATTTTACATTGATTGGTGTACTGATGGTGTCAGAGAAGGTAGTGGTGCGAGGAGACTGGTTCTTTAGTGGTTGCAGGTACCAGACCGTTTGTAAAAAGGTATTCCTGTAATAGGAATTTAAGATAGAACTGAATCAATCTACTAGGTTAGATGGTAGCACTGTTTGTAAGGTGATATATCCTAAAAAGAACGGATACTTGAAACAGATGGCAATGACAAGGACTAAGCAAATGAGCGTGTTTGTCTAATCAGTTAAGGAAAATCACTGCATGGCTGTAGTGTGAAAATGGTGAATGTAACTTTGGGAGTGGCTTCACTAACCATTGTATCAGAGGTTAAAAATGATAGCTCTGCTTTCACCAGGATATGGAAAGCAGAGATTCAGTAAATCCCAGAGCAAATAGTGCATGTGAGAGGATGGAGGCCAAAGAGGATAATGTGCATTAGTCTACATATGTGGATCCACATAAATCTTTCTGGTTGTTTTATGTTTGCCAAGTCTAAATTGGAATTAATATGGTTGGGTTTTTTTTTTTTAATAATCCTTTTCTACGTTGAACCATTCAGCTCAGTTTTGTACCATGTGGAAAATTTCTCCTGAAATAACATGACCACCTGCAGTTTAGCTGAAAATTTAGGCTTTGTAATGCAATAGATCAATAATAATGTTTCCATTTGTGTTGGTTGTTTTTTTTTTTTTAGAGGTGTCTTTTTAGGCTAACAAATGGACTGAATGGAGAATAAGTAAACTGTGCACATCAGTAGGTCTGAATCAACAGTCTCAAAGATTTGATGAACCACATCAAGACAGATGGGTGGTAAATAGCTATGAAGGAGGCTGCGTGACACTAAAAATCAGCAGTGGGCCAGTAAAGTGGGAACATGAAGAACCTTCAACCTCTGGCAGGCAAGACAATTCAGGAGGCTGTCAAAATGCCATACTCAGCACGCTCAATGCCCGTATCCCCCTTCTTCAGAAGCTGCCTCCAGGACTCAGTTTTGAAGCAATTCTGCTGGGCTGAAGGACCATGAGTAACCAAGCAGGTTCGGCATCCTTGCTGAAGACATAGTGTGTCAGTAGGTGAATGAGCCAAAAAAATCATAGTCCCACTGTCAATCTCGTGACCGAGCTATCTTTTTCTATTTCTAGAGTATGATAAATGCTTAAAAAGGTGAACTTGGGGTATTC